AAGACATCCCTACTAAGGTAGTTACCTTAATAGGAAGATCCCCTTTTTCTTACTAGTTCCTATAGATAACTAGCTAGGCCTTATACTTTTAAAGGAAGCTATATTTATTAGTCTTATAGATAAAGACCTACTTATAGCTAAGGACCTATTTTCCTCTTACCGTTTCCTTAAGGACCTCTTTAAAAGACCCTATCTCCTTATATAAGGCTAGGTAGTCTTTCTAGGCCTAGAAAAACTAGTCTTTAAAGGGGTGTTTTTCTAGCTGCTTTTAGTTTACTAGTAGGTCTAGGAGGTTTCTTTTATATACCTTCCTTACTAATAGCTATGGCTTAAAGAGCTAGCCTACTATAAATGCTTTATAGGAACCGTCTTTTATAGCCGTTAGATAGAAGTTAGAAAAATAATTAAAATAAGGGAGAGGTTAGTCTTCTTTTATATCGGGCCCTATACCTTCCTTTGCTTCTTAAAGTAGGGATAAAAAGGCAGCTAGGTAATCCTTTAAGAGAGGTACTTTTCCTATACTCTTAGGGGTCGAGATAGGAAGACTAACTAAAAAAGCTGCTTTTAGATCTTCTTCTTATTCTATAAGAGGAGGCGTAGGAAGGTAAGCGTATTCTAGCTCTACTACTTTCTTATAGTCTCCTTCTTTATCTAGATTATTTAATCTAGTAGCTTCCTCTTCTTCTTTAAAGTTAGCGTTATCCTTAACTACTTCGACGTTAGTTTCTTCTTTTATTTCCTTATTTAAGACCTCTTCTTAAGACTATTAAGAAGGGGGAATTTAGATCTTTTAAATTAGCTAACGTTAAGAGAGTAAGAAGGGCTATTAATCCCTCTTTCTATTAAAGAAGCTAGATTTATCGAAAATTATATCCTTAGTTAAAATAACCTTTTAAAGAAGACGAATCTAAATCTAAAAGATATTAATAGAATTATAACTAACGAGGTAACTAATAAAGGCTCTAGGATTAAGCTTTCTTTTCTTCTTGCTTTTTAGCTATATATCGGTAGTTATAGCGTATGCCTTATAGCTATAGGTATAAAGGTAGGCTAGCAAGGCCCTCTTTTTTATAAAGAGCTTAAAAGGGGATTTCTAGTTTATTCCTTAGGTCCTTAGGGTCCGGTTCTAAAGGTAATAAGCGGTCTTAATAAGTTCCCTTTAAAGGTCGTATAGAAGCCTTATAGTAAGTCTTATTATATAGGCCCTTTCTATTATAGTACCTCCTAATCTTTCTACCCCTCCGTTTTAGGCTTAGGTATTTAGTACTAATAGTTAGGGTAAAATGCCCCTTTTTTAAAGCTAATTTAAGATATCCTTTATAAATAGCTCTCCGTTAGACTATATCTTCTTTACCTTATAGCTAAAGTAGGATTTTATTTAATTAACGAAGTCTTAGAGGGTAGACTAGTTATACTTACTTAGGTAGGTCCGTAAGAAATAAGGGAAAACTATCCTTAAAAAAGCGTCTATAAAAAACATTACCTTAATAAACCTTTTCTAGTCCCTAGAGATATTAGTCTAGTCGACCTAAATTTCCTTATATAGCTAGTCCGGCTATAAAGGCGTTCGTTTAGAAATTCGTCTCTTAGTCTTTCCTTAGCTATAGTATTCGCATTTATCGGTCTTTAGGCCCCTTATTTATACGCCTTATTATTAACCTAGCTTATATAAAGCTAGGGGGCCTAGGTAACTAAGTCGTGCGTGCTAAAGAAGACCGTCTCCTTAGGCTGCTAGAAGAGGGTCCTTTAAACCTACCGTCCTTCGAGCAAGGAAAGCTAACTTCTTAATTAGTTCCTTTCTAAGGATAGGTCGGAATTTAAGAATAAATTAACCGAATTTTTCCTCGATAAGCTTAATAGTCTAATTCTTCTAGACTAGCCTTATAGGCTTAAACGTTATATCCTAGAAGATTCCTTCCTTTAAAGAAGGTAGAAGGAAATTAAGCTTATAAAATATTAAGGGTAAAAAGCTACCCTTTTTTATTAAGGAATTTATATAGTCCTATTAAGTAATTTTATTATAAAATTTACCCTTCTATATCCCTTTATCTATATAGTTAATTCCCTAGTAATAAGGTATTCCTTCTATGCCTTCTTAAAGGACCGGAATTAAGAGAGTATATTATAGATATTAAGGGAAGTACTAGAGTTAAGGATAGCTAATTTTCGTAGGGGGTAATCGGAGGGCTCTAACAGTTAGTTTTAGCCTTATTAATCTATAGGGAAGACGAAAGCTAGATTTACTATACTAACGATTTTTCCTTGAATTTATAGCTCGAATAAAGGCAGCGGCGTTAGTTACTATTTCTTAGTAACCTAAATCTTATTTATCTTCTTCTATAACGAGGGGTCCTCCTTAAGAGACTATTATATCGTTTCTTATAGCCTCTTTAAAGGGTTAAATCCTTTAGGTTAGTTTTTATTAAAGACCTACTAGTATTATAATAATCGATAACCTAGGGATTTATATACTAAGCAGCCGTTTTATCGTCTTATCTTTTATTTCTTTAAGGAATCCTCGTCTTAGTCTAGAAGGTCTGCTTAAAAACCCCCCCTTTTTACCTCTTATTGCTAATTTTAATAAAGAGGTTCGATTTTAACTAGTTCCCTAATTTTTCGACTAATAGACTAAAAGGTCTATTAGGGGACTAGTCGGGCCGGTCTAACTAACGGGACCGGGGCCGGGCCTAGAGTAAGAGGCGGAGCCAGGGCCGGGCCTAGGGCAGCCGTTAAAGACAGTGTTAATACTCTCGAGGGAGGAGGAGCTAAAGGGGCAATAGCTATAGCAGTAGTAGCGGGAACTATAGTAATAGGGGCTATAGTAGCTATAGGGGCAGTAGGTCGAGCTATCTAGGTCGAGTGCTAGCTACGAAGGAATAAGACTACTTATTATTATACTTTAGTAGCCTCTTTATTTAGTTCCTAGCTAGCTTCTTAAAAGATAGTTAAGTAACTATTACTAATAAGCTTTATTAGTAGAGATATATCCTATAGCTACTAGCTAGAAAGAGCTTCTATAAAGAAGTATTAGTTAGCTTCCTTAAGGATTTCTTCTTACTTAGCTAGCTATAAAGAAGCTAGTAAGTTCCTAGTAGAAAAGGCTCCTAGGTATACTATATAAGTCTTCTTAATACGGTTAGTTATATAGCCCCTTAAGGGAGCTATAAGGTCTTAAGCTTTAAAAGCTACTACTTAGGAGTCTCTTCCTCTTAAAGAGAGATTAGCTTTACGGTACTAACGGATTCTATTATCGCTATATATATAGTAGTTAGTAGCTTCGTCTTATAGAGGTACTCCTTTCGGTAACTCTTATAGTCGCCTAAGGTAGTAGAAAAAGCTCTCTACTATACGGAGGTTAGCTTAGAAAAGAGGGAAGCTCCCTCTATAAATTCTATTGCCTTAGGACGAAGAGGGGGCTTAAGAGGGTCCTACTTATTAAAGAAGACTAAATTATAGATAGTTCTATCTATACGAGCCCGTAGCTCCTTTACCTACTTATTTTAATCTTAGGGCTCTATAAGAATCGTCCTATAAACCGTAGGGATAATAGAGGAGTCGTTTTTCGATATTGTTATAGAGAGAGGGGGTAGAAAAGTTAGTTAAAAATCGGCTTTTCTAGTAAGAGGGATAAAAGGAAGCTACGAAGGATATAAGAAAGGTGCCTTTTATAGTAGCCGGAAGGTATAGGAATTCTATTCCTCCTAGGCTTATAACTCTCGCGAAGAGAGATATAAGAAGTATATAAAAATATATAAAGGTAAAATTAGAAGTAAGGGGTCGGATAGGTAGGGTAGAGAGATTTAATTCTTATAAGGGCAGTAATTATAGTAGGGGAATAATTATTATATTGCCTTAATTATCCTTCTTTCCTTTATCTAACGCCTTTCTTTATACCTATTTAGTATCTTAATTAATAAAGAAGATCCTACTTAAAGAAGCTACTAATATCCTTTTAACTACCGAGCTTTTTACTAGTTTTTCCCCTCCTTTCTAGCCGTTGCCGGTATATCTATCTTATCTCTCGCTACCTCTATAGGAAGCTATCGCTACTTCTACTTCCCCTCTTGCCCCTACCCTCCTCTCTATACCTCTTTTTAGCTCCTTCCTTAAAACCTGTTTTTTAGCTTCCTAGGTCCCTCGTGCTAAGGGATATCTCCGAGAACTACGAAAGCAGGCCACGCTTCGCGATAATAGTAATAAAGTAATTTAGGATTAAAGTAAAGACGCGAACTAGTAGTAGGTAGGTAGGATTTATTTCGCTTAGAGGGAGGTCCCTATAAGGCCTTAATATAGTCTAGAGTATAGTTTAGCACGTTTATTCCTTAACTCCCTAAGCCCTATAGATTATCTTACGCTGCGCTAACCGTACCACTGTTTTGCTCTATAATAGACCTACTTAAAGGTCAATTTCTCTAAGTGTTTAGCATCCTATTCCTAGTAACTAAAGCGCGATGTGTCGAAGTTGAAGCGTAGTTGTGTTAGTCATTAATAGTGGTTGGTACGCCGATTGTGTTCCCCCATGACGCTGTTCCCTGTTAACGGGCGGGAACCCGGGTGTGCCCTGTTTCACCAGGGGTGCCTCCAGCCGGCTTCGAACCGACCCCTCTGCGACGCAGAGGCTCTAGACGTGTCACCATTACGCCATAGAGGCCGCGAACTAGCGGTGAATCCGGCGAATCGTCCGATCCGGCAGATCACCGGGAAATCCCTTAAATACGGCAGCCAATTTCCCCTTTACTTAGGGAGGAACGAGGCCTCCAAGGAGGCCTCAACAACACACATTATCAGATCAATATAGTCTCTTTTTGCGGCTACACATAAGTTGCTGCATCAAGCCTTAATCCGTCGTGCATACCTAACTATTTCCTTATTAGGCCCGAGCCGCAGAAGCAACGTTCTGACAGGAAGCTGCTTGCTTTATTGCCCCTGCAGCCGGCCCAGTGGACACTAGGAAGCGCTCCCGGTCAGCTAGTCAACCCACCACCAGTTTCTTATAGACTTTACTCTCTCAAAGAGTCCGGTTTCGGAGGCATATCACTGTCGCCCGCCTCCCCTCCCTCCATGCCCGGCCCTGGCGGATTTGGCCTAGTAATATGATGCTGGACTGTGCCAAAGTTGCGCCGGAGCATGCACATCTCAACGGTGATTCCGGGTCCAAACGCGCAGGCGATGATATGCTCACGAGGGTGACTGTCAAGTGCCAAATTGTCCATCTCCTTAGAGCGCAGGCGGTCCATGACACTGATGATACTAGCAGAGCTAGAGTTGCCGTGGTGGGTGTATACATCGATGCTTGCACGCATGTGTTCCGCTGATATCCCAAGGGCGTGCTCCGTACTAGAAAGGATCGACGTTCCTCCAGGGTGTATTGCCCAATCAAAGTCGCCGGCGAGCTTAGAACTGGTCGGCAGCTGGGGAAGTGAAGCTTTGAGGCGCTTAAAGGTAGCAGAGATTGCAGATTGGGTGAGTTGAGGGACTCGAGGAGTAATGACGGCTTTCCAACCTAAAACCAGTAAGCCTCAGCTTACCATTAAAATTGCTTCAACGCCATACCTGTGGAATCAACATGGAATCCTAGGTCAGCTCCTGTTCCTGGAATGATCGAATGGTCCCATCCTAGGACTTCGTAAATCGCTCTTGATTGCTGACCAATACCGTTGCTTAACACGAGGGCGCTGGCACAGTCAGAAAACAAACAAGCGGCTATTCTTGTCTCTTGTCGTTCGTTGATGCTGTCCAACTCGCTCCGCACTAAGAACGATGTGATCTCTAGTGCAAGGCATAAAACCCGAGCTGGTCGTCCCATAGCCGCAGATCCGAGAGCCAAGTTGGCACCAGTTCTTAACGCAGCCAGACCACCACTGCAGCCTACTCCGTGAAGAAGAACCTTTTCCACAGCGTGGGTGATCCCAAGATCTTTTGCCACATGATAGTCAAACCCTGGATTTGCGCTGTCGGTACAAGTTGTTGACACTATGTGGGTTATGTGACTGATGTCGATCTTGGCGTCGTAAATAGCCTTCCGTGCTGCTCTCACAGCGAGTGGTACGCCATGGGTAAGGAAGGTCTTATGTAGTTCGGAAATGGTTGGTGTCCTTTCTTGGTTTATTAAAGGGTGGTCACACGGGAGTATTGATGAACGAGATTTAATTCCGGTAGCTCTATTAATAGAGAGAACCCTCGTAAGACTGTCCGTGTAAGTAAAGGTGTGGTCAGCAAGGGCATATAAAGATATCTTATGAATATTATTACTTACGATGGGGACTTAGGATAGTGCCTCTTGCTAAGTATATCAAGGGTGTTGGCTTTAAGAGAATAGGTCGGATATTGAGTTCCCAGCCCTATAACGGACAGATGCAATTCTCCAAACATCTTGTAAGTATCATACGTACGTGGGTGCAATGCCTGAAGGTTTTGGTGCGTGTCAATTGCTGCCCCTTAATTTAGGTATGGCGGCGTAGTGGCCCGGACCTTTATAAGTACCGGGCCCAACACGAAAACAGCATTTACATACAACTTGGCAGGGGGATAATTTCTACTACCGTAAAGTACCTTATTCCTTATCACCGCCGCTTGCGGCCGCTGTTTTCCACCTATGGTCATGCACCACTTAATGCGGCCCGCGAATAGCTACCATACCCTACCCCCCTTTCGGTAACACCCCCCTTTCGGTAGCGCAAATGAAAAAAACTCTACTAAAAGTCTACTATTTCACTTATACCGATTGCAGCTAACTTTAAAGATATTCGTAAGCAGTTACTTAGGATAGGTAGAGAATTAACCGAATTTTACTTTTAGGTGATTAAATATTTATATAGGGCTCTATAGTCTAGGTCAACGTTGCCCGCGAAATTACTATTTAGCTGCGTAATCTTCCTTTCCCTCCTATCACGGGGCAGACCTAGGATGCTAGGGAAGATCTATATTATGCTATAAGGAGGGCAAACTACGGAGGTGGAACAGAGTCTAGACAAGTATAGAGAGGCACGTGACCGAACCTAGGTTAGTGCCGTGACAGTACCCCCTTCCTAAATGGCTATTCGTTATCGAACAGCCTAAACGACTAAGAGCGGCTTAGGCATAAAGTATATAGTTATGCCTTTTACTTCTTTGCCTAGACCTGTCGCGAAGCGTGGCCTGATTTCGCAGTTCTCGGAGATATCCCTTAGCACGAGGGACCAAGGAAGCTAAAAACACCCGGTATAGAAGAAGGAAGAAGGAGCTAAAAAGAGGTGTAGAAAGGAGGGTAGGGGCATAAGGGGGAGCAGAAGTAGCGATGGCTTCCTATAGAGGTGGCGAAAGATAAGACGGATATGCCGGCAACGGCTAAAAAAGAGGGGAAAAAACCGGCAAAAAGCTCGGTAGTCGAAAGGATATTAGTAGCTTCTTTAAGCAGGATATTCTTTATTAATTAAGATACTAGATAGGTATAAAGAGGCGTGTTAGATAGAGGAAAGAAGGATAATTAAGGCAATATAATAATTACTCCCTTACCGTAATTGCTGCTCCCGTAAGAATTAAATCTCTCTACCCTGCCTATCCGACCCCTTACTTTTAATTTTACCTTCGTGCATTTTTATATATTTCTTATATCTCTCTTCGCGAGAGTTATAAGCCTAGGAGGAATAGTATTCCTATACCTTCCGGCTACTATAAAAGGCACCCTTCTTAAATCCCTCGTAGCTCCCTTTTACCCCTCTTACTAAAAAAGCCGATTTTTAACTAACTTTTCTGCCCCCCCTCTCTTCTTCTATAATAATATCGAAAAACGACTCCTCTACTATCCTTATAGTCCGTAGGACGATTCTTATAGAGCCCTAAGATTAGGATAAGTAGGTAAAGGAGCTATAGGCTCGTATAGATAGAACTATCTATAATTTAGTCTTCTCTAATAAGTAGGACCCTCTCGAGCCCCCTCTTCGTCCTAGGGCAACGGACTTTATAGAGGGAGCTACCCTCTTCTCTAAGCTAACCTCTATATAATAGAGAGCTTTTTCTACTACCTTAGGCGACTACGAGAGTCACTAAAAGGAGTACCTCTACGAAACGAAGCTACTAACGGCTACTTATACGGCGATAACGGAATCCGTTAGTACCGTAAAGCTAATTACTCTTTAAGAGGAAGAGACTCCTAGGTAGTAGCTTTTAAAGCTCGAGACCTTAATAGCTCCCTCGAGGGGCTATATAACTAACCGTATTAGTGTAAGGAACGGTGTTCCTACTATAAATAAAGCAGCTATAATATACTCTCCCGATTATATAAGCTAATAAGTAGTATATTAATTATAGATAAAATCTCATCCTATAGAGCAAGAATCGCTCGTTATTTTGCATGTCATTTTGCATTAAACGGGTTGCCGGTTATCGTATAATCGGGAATCGAAGGAACAGAGCTAGCTTAGAATGCTAGCTAAGACCTCTTAAGAACACCGGCACGACCAACCTCCTCTAAACACGAATATCAGTGGAACCAAGACACTTCTAGATTCACTCGAGATATCACGGAATTCCCTAGTCTTAGGGCTATACGGCAGCCTAAATCTGGTCCCGAAAGGTTCTTCCGTTCAGCTACAATTGTCTATATAAGACAGCATGTCCGCTAGTAGATAGATATAGAATCATTAACTTCAACACCTCTTCTATACACTAATACACTACAAATAAATTCCGTTGAAAATCCTACCTTATACTCCTTCTTCCCTTCTATCACGTAGTCTTACGTGATTCCTTGATTTCCTAAAATTCCGCTTTTGCTTATATACCTTTAGAATTAGGAAGACCTATACGGCCTACCTAGGAGCCTTTTCTACTAGGAACCTACTAGCTTCTTCGTAGCTAGCTAAGTAAGAAGAAATCCTCGAGGAAGCTAAGTAATACTTCCTTATAGAAGCTCTATCTAGCTAGTAGCTATAGGATATATTTCTACTAATAAAGCCTATTAGTAACGGTTACTCGACTATCTTTCGAGAGGCTAGCCGGGAACTAGATAAAGAAGCTGCTTAAGTATAATAATAAGCAGTCTTATTCCTTCGTAGCTAGCACTCGACCTAGATAGCTCGATATACTGCCCCTATAGCTGCTATAGCCTCTATTACTACGGCCCCCGCTACTGCTGCTGCGGCTATTACTCCTTTAGCTCCTCCTCCCTCGAGAGCCTTAACGCCGTCGTTAACTATAGCTGCGGCCCTAGGCCCGTTCCCGGCTCTATATCTTACTCCGGGCCCGGCCCCGGTCCCGTTAGTTAGACCGGCCCGACTAGTCCTTTAATAGACCTTTTAGTCTATTAGTCGAAAAATTAAGGAACTAGTCGAAATCGAACCTCTTTATTAAAATTAGTAATAAGGGGTAAAAAGGGGGGGTTTTTAAGCAGACCTTCTAGATCGGGACGAGGATTCCTTAAAGAAATAATATATAAGGAGGAATCGACCTACCTACTAAGTATATAAAAAGCCCTATCGGCTAGAAGACTACTAGTAGGTCTTCGAGGAAAACCGACTTAAAGGAGTTAACCTTTTAAAGAGACTACGAGAAATAGTATAATAGTCTCTTAAGGAGGACCCCTCGTTATAGAAGAAGATAGACGAGATTTAGGTTGCTAAGAAATAGTAATTAATAACGCCGCTGCCCTTATTCGAGCCGTAAATTTAAGGAAAAATCGTTAGTATAGTAAATCCAGCCTTTATCTTCCCTATAGATTAATAAGGCTAAGACTAACCGTTAGAGCCCTCCGACTATCCCCTATAAAAATTAGCTATCCTTAACTCTAGTACTTCCCTCGATATATATAATATACTCTTATAATTCCGGTCCTTTAAAAAGGTATAGATGGAATACCTTATTGCCGGGGAATTAACCGTATAGATAGAGGGATATAGAAGGGTAAATTTTACGATAAAATTACCTAACGGATCTATATAAATTCTTTAACGAAAAAGGGTAGCTTTTTACCCTCGATTTTTAACGAGCTTAATTTCCTTCCGCCTTCTTTAAGAGGAAGGAATCTTCTAGGATATAACGTTTAAGCCTACGAGGCTAGTCTAGAAGAATTAGACTATTAGGCTTATCGAGGAAAAATTCGGTTAATCTATTCTTAAATTCCGACCTATCCTTAGGAAGGAATCTCTTAAGAAGTTAGCTTTCCCTACTAGGAGGAATAGGTCTACTATAAAAGACCCTCTTTTAGCAGCCTAAGGAGACGGTCTTCTTTAGCACGCACGACTTAGTTACCCGGGCCCCCTAGCTTTATATAAACTAGGTTAATAATAAGGCGTACGAATAAGGGGCCTAAAGACCGTTAAATGCGAATACTACGGCTAAGGAAAGACTAGGAGACGAATTTCTAGACGGACCTTAATACGGCCGGACTAGCCGTATAAGGAAACTTAGGTCGATTAGACCGACGTCTCTAAGGACTAGGAAAGCTTTATTAGGGTAATGTTTTTTATAGACGCCTTTTTAGGGATAGTTTTCCCTTATTTCTTATAGACCTACTTAAGTAAGTATAACTAGTTTACCCTCTAGGACTTCGTTAACTAGATAAAATCCTACTTTAGCTATAAGGTAAAGAAGATACGGTCTAACGGAGAGCTATTTATAAAGGATATCTTAAATTAGCTTCGAAAAAGGGGCATTTTACCCCTCCTATTAGCACCGAATACCTAGGCCTAGAACGGAGGGGTAGAAAGATTAAGGGGTGCTATAATAGAAAGGGCCTATATAATAAGACTTACTATAAAGCTTCTATACGACCTTTAGAGGGAAGTCGTTAAGACCGCCTATTACCTATAGAACCGGACCCCTAGGGACCCTAAGGACCCTAGGGAACTAAACTAAGGAATAGACTAGAAATCCCCCCTTAAGCTCTTTACGAAGAAGAGGGCCTCGCTAGCCTACCTTCGTGCCTATAGCTATAAGGCATACGCAATAACTACCGATATATAGCTAAAAAGGAAGAAGAAAAGAAAGCTTAATCTAAGAGCCTTTATTAGTTACCTTATTAGTTTTAACTCTATATATATCTTCCGGATCTAGATTCCTTTTTTATAGAAGGTTATTTCGACTAGGGATATAAATTTTAACGAATCTAGCTTCTTCGACGGAAAGAGGGATTAATAGCCCCTCTTACTCTCTTAACGTTAGCTAATTTAAAAGATCTAAATTCCCCCTTCTTAATAGTCTTAAGAAGAGGCCCTAAACGAGGAAATAAAAAAAGAAACCGACGTCGAAGTAATCGAGGATAACGCCGACTTCGAAGAAGAAGAGGAAGCTACTAGATTAGATAATCTAGACGAAGAAGGAGACTATAGGGAAGCGGTAGAGCTAGAATACGCCTGCCTCCCTATGCCTCCTCTTATAGAATAAGAAGAAGATCT